ACTACTACTACTACTACTACTACTACTACTATTATTAATGATTTTACTGCTGCTGCTACTACTACTACAACAACTACTAATACGTCTGCTACTATAACTAGTACCTAATAATGATAATAATAATAATAATAATAACAAATTAAATTCCTATGACACTGTTATGACGTGAATGACTGAATGAAGTTGTTTGAGTTTGAAATATTTATATGTGTGCGTGTGTATGTATGTGCGCGTATATTTGTGTGTGTGTGTGTGTGTGTGTGCGTGTTTAATTATCCAATCCCATTCAATTTGACTCTAATTTATGTTCGTCTGTTTTTTGTTTGTTTTTATATTTTTATATCGGGATGTTTGTATGTATGTTTAAAAAAAAAGAAATAATATGCTTGTATGTATGTATGTATGTATGTATGTATGTATGTATGTATGTATGTATGTATGTATGTATGTATGTTAAAACCAAAACATGATGAGTGACACTGATACTGTATGTATATATGTATGTATGTATGTATGTATGTATGTATGTATGTATGTATGTATGTATGTATGTATGTATGTATGTATATTTGTTTGTTTGTCTGTTTGTTTGTATGTAAGTATGCATGTAAGTAGGTAGTTAAGCATGAATGTATGTATGTATTGTTGTGCTTGTGTTTCTTGCTTTTTCTCAAACACTAACAATAATGTCACCATATAGACATTGTATATATATATATATATATATATATATATCAAATATGAAATATATGAAATTAATTGCATATATTTATATATAAATATATATACATATACATACACGTATACATATATAGTGGCAAGTACAATTTAAATAGCCCGTCTTATTTTTTGAACACAGCTACTTATATGGCGACAAAAAATATGTGTTATATAGATGGATAGATGGAAATGTATCGATATGTACTTGCTGACCGATCAATCTATCGATCGAATAGTTACGGTTTTATGTGTAATGTTTCGGTTTATTTCGGTAGGATTTTTTTCGGTGTGGCTCGTTTTGCTAATAGATACGGCTATGGTATGTTAGGTTAGTTATTTTGAAGTTGAAATCTATTGAAGTTATTGAAGTTTCTGAAGCCTGTAAATAATAGATTGGTTAAAAATTTTTTTTAATGTTAATTATTTTAATCGGATTTAAATTTTATATTCAACAATTTCAATGCTCAATTCATTGATACTCTCCTTCGTAATCGAAGTTGTTAAACTGATGAGCTGACCGATCTATCTATCGATAGAATAATTACTGTTAAGTTTTTGGTAAATTTGTTTATAAAAGGTTAGTATAATTTTTTAAAGTCATTTTTCCTTCTTTCATGTATAAATTAATTATCATTATTATTATTACTATTATTAATTATTAATCTTATTATTTTCGTAACTATTAGTACTGTTATTATTGCGTTAATTTTATCTCTACAGCTGCAGTTACGCGCGCCTAGACCGAATAAAAATGTGAGATTGCTGACCTATGTATGGATGTGTATTTTATTATTATTGTCGCTATTATTATTTGTTATTATTATTATTATAATTAGTAGTAATAGTAGTAGTAGTAGTAGTAGCAGTAGTAGTCGTATTGGTATTATTATTATTACCATTATTATAACCGTCTTTTAAAAATCTTCCATGCCAGGGATCTACCTCCTCTCTTAATTATTCATCAGCCGGACACACGGCGCACGTCAATATCTGTGTCGATCCACAACACACGGATCTTCTAAATATCCGTGTTGATTCACGATGCATGGATCTTCTAAATATCCGTGTTGATTCACGATGCATGGATCTTCTAAATATCCGTGTTGATTCACGATGCATGGATCTTCTAAATATCCGTGTTGATTCACGATGCATGGATCTTCTAAATATCCGTGTTGATTCACGATGCATGGATCTTCTAAATATCCGTGTTGATTGACTGTGTGTAAGTGTGCGTGTGTGTGTAAGAATGTGTTTGTGTGTGGTGTGTGTGTGAGTGTGTGTAGTTAGTACGTGATTTGTTTGTGTGCACGTGTGAATAAACGTGAATGTAAGTACTAAGTATGTGTATGTGTGTGTGACTGTGTGTGTGTGTTTGTATACGTGTATGCGGTGTGCGTATGTGTGTGAGATAGTTTGAGTGCTATGAGTCTATGAGAATAGATCACTCATCATGAATGTATTTTAATTGCGATTATTATTATTGCTATTGTTGATATTGTTACTGTCGTTATTATTGTTGTTGTTATTGATGTTATTATTGTTGTTGTTATTGATGTTATTATTGTTGTTGTTTCTGTTGTTATTGTTAGTGTTGTTATTATTGTTTAATTTGATATTTTTATTGTTGTTTTACAATTTTTGTCGTGATTTTGTGGGACATTGAATTTAACGACAATGACGATGATGTCAATATAATAGTAATAATCGTTATAAAAGTTATGACGTAACATTATTCAGGGTTTTTTTAAGAAAAAAAACATTTATCAATATTTCTTTTTTTAAATTCTTCATCAAATAATAGTTCAGTCTCACAATCCTATAGATTTCTAAATAATAATTAATCTTCAGCTAATTTATCGTTTGTCTTAAGATAAAACTATATATATGTGAATGTATGTGCAAGTTTGTTTATGTGTGTGTGTTGGTTGTATGTGTGTGTGTGTGTTTGGTACGTGTGTGTGCGCGTGTGTTTGCTGTGTGTGTGTGTGTGTGTGTGTGTTAGGTGCGTGCCTGTGTGCGTGGTGTACCTATGTTATCTGATAAATTTTTGTCCCCAAACTTGATTTTAAACCTTCAACTAACTTTTAAAAAATTAAAAAGTTACAATATACTTTAGTGCACTACGTTACGGTACTCACACAATTTCTTATTATCTAAATGCGGTCCCGTGCAAGGCTAAGGTATACGCACGTGAAACGCAGGTATCAAGATGTCATGTTATGTTTAATTATATCCGTATTTATCTGTCGGTGTACATTGCATACATATAGTATATTCACATAAATGAAATCTGTATATTCACATACATGTACGTGCGTGTGTGTGTGTGTCTGTGTACGTGGGTGTGTGTGTCTGTATACGTGTGTGTGCGTGCGTGTGTGTGTGGTGTGTCTGACATATGACAAATATGGCGTCATACATAGCACCGGCGTGTGCCGATGACGATCAAGGTTAGTCATCATAAGCATTGTCGTTTGTTTTAAACGCGTTTCTAAATTATAAATGTTTTTTTTACAAAATTATGAATACAAATAATAATTTTTGTACATCAACATGTACATACCGTACATAAGTGTGAATAAAGGCAGAAAATGCACTGTGTTTAAGTGTCAGGCATCCTTAACAGTTACGCCAAAAATGATAATACTATATTATCATTGGTAGATTTACATCTAAAAATGCATGTTTACACGCATTTGTTCTCAACCAACATTTTTGTCATCGCAATTATGATTATTAACATCGTTATTTTAACTAATTTTGAGTAATTTATATTAAAATCATCATCGTCATCTTCTCTATAACTATCATCATCTTCTTCTTCTTCATCAAATCATCGTCATCATCACAATCATCGTCGTCATCATCGTCATCATCGTCATCGTCATTAGCGATATCGGCTCCTTTGTCTTGTGTTTTTATTTGCTCAAGAAACAAAAAAACCTCGCATGCTATTTAAGCATATACATATCACACAAACACACATACACACTCTCACACACACGCACACACACAAACACATGCACGCACACACACGCATGCACACGCACACACACACATTTTTCTAATTAGTCTTCCTAATCAGTAATGAATTTAAAAAATATGAAAGTACCATGTGAGCGTGTCAAGAGAAAAAAAAATTTGGGGGATCACGAGCAGGGCAGGTGCTGATTGAGTTGTTACGTTGGCGATGTTCTCTCTCTCTCTCTCTTTCTTTCTCTCTCTCTCTCTTTCTTTCTCTCTCTCTCTCTTTCTCTCTCTCTCTCTCTCTCTCTTTCTTTCTCTCTCTCTCTCTCTTTCTCACTCTCTTTCTCTCTTTCAGTTTTTCCCTCTCTCTATACCTTTTTTCTCTCTCTCTCCATATTTTACTCTTAATTTAAAAATATGTTTTATGAATGTTATTTTTATTTCATTTATTTATTTTGTCACCGTGTTATTGACACCAAATGGAACATGCTGATTCTCACTACTGACATCTTTATTGAAGAAAGAAGTTTCTCTTCCTTTTTCACGGTCGCACCTCTCTGCCGTAATAATGACACATTCTCCATATTTTATTTTGTTCACTTCTTTGTTTTCATACCTCTCACTTCTTTCTCTTTCTCTCTCTCTCTCGCTCGTCTTTTCTCTCTCTCTCTCTCCTCTCTCTCTCTCTCTCTCTATCTATCTTGTTCTCTTTCTCTCTCTCTTTCTTTTTTTCTTTCTCGTGAAATATTTACCAAGGGTAGTTTTTAGATAGGTATGTATGATTGCTGTATGAGTGTGGTCTGTCTTTCGCATTGCTCTTAGATGAATGTTTGTTCGTTCGTTCGTTCGTTTGTTTGCTCCTTCGTTCGTTCGTTTGTTTGTGATTTTATTTCTAGGTTTTTTGATACTTCGTTGTATTTAATAATTTTAAAACGTGAATTTGATTGTAATTATATTTTTGTTTTTGGTGTGATAACATATCTCTACATAAATGAATACTGGAATATATGTACAAAAAATCAATCAAATAGAAGAAACGCATTGAGATGAAATTTGTCTTGTTTGCATTCATATGCATTCGATTGTCTGTGTGTGTGTGTGTGTTTGTTTGTGTTTGTATGTGTGTGTGTGTGTGTGTTTGTGTTTGTATGTGTGTGTCTGTGCGTGCATGTGAGAGAGAAAAATCGGGCGTTTTGTGATAACGTTAATAAACTGTTCAATGTTCTTTGTCCTCTATGACAAGTTATGCTGTTTGTCATAAAGTTGTTACATTGACGGGAGGGTGGATGGGTGGATGAATGAATGAATGAATGAATGAATGAATGAATGAATAAATGAGTGAGTGAATGAATGAGTGAATGAATGAATGAACGAACGATCGAACAAATGAATGAACGAACGAATGAATGAACAGACAGGTAAACCCATAAATTAATATTTTATTTCATCAATGTTTTTCATCACACACACAATCACACAGACACGATTGATCAATCGAACAACTGTCATTCATTCAATCAATCATATATCGCGTGTTCAATCAATCAATTAATTATTCAATCAATCAATTAATTATTTGTTTAACCAATGGTTTTTTTATCGTATCAATTGATTCAAGATATTCCATTTTTCCATTCGTCTATCTTTATTTTCATTCAATCATTTACATCCACTAAAAAAATGTACACACATACACAGACAAACACACACACAAACACACACACGAACAAACAAAAGCAGACACACACACACACAACTAGCACGCACACATTGATATACAAATATTGATACACATACATTTGTTTAAACATTCACACCTGTGAACAAACACATAAGCGAAGATATGAAGACATACACTCTTTAGCGATGGACAGATACAACGTCACACACACACACACCCGCACGCAGACAAACACACACACACACGCAGAAATAAAAACATACAAATAACATACATAGAAATCTCCACACATAAATTTCCACATTGACACACAAAATACATACTTCGAGACACCCAGACACCCACGAAAGCGTGTTTACACACACAAACATACATACAGATACAAAAATAATAGCATACAAATTCAATCACACACGCACACACACACACGCACACTTATACAAAGGCGGGTACAAATTGGGAAGAAAAATTTTGGAAGTCTAGTTTCAATTGTGTGCTTAGATGGTTTCAGTTTTCACTATATTCTAGCACCATTTGAAATTAGATTTTCTACCAAGCTATATCAACAAACATCGAACTAATTTGATTGTGAGTATAAAATGATGTTACCTTCACCATTGTATGCTGATAGAGAGGATGACGACGATGAGGTGATCAATCAATCCTTCAATCGGCCATTTAATCAACCAACAAACCATATTCCCACTAATATATGTATACGTGTGTATGAGTTTGTCTGTGTATGAATGTGTTTGTATTTGTGTGTACGTATATATTTGTATGTATGCCTGCATGTATGTTTTGTTTTGTATATATATATATATATATATATATATATATAAGATGGTTTTACTTTATGTTTCATTCCCAAGAAACACAATCGATGAGTCAATTGTTTTCGTAAAATAAAAATAGGAAAAACAACAGAAAAAAGATAATAAAGATGTACAATAAAAAATATAGAAGCCTATGGAATAAAAATAAAATTGCCGAAAAAGGTAGCGCAACCGAAACGAAACTAAAAAGATGGGCTACTTGGGTTCGTTTACTCGTTTATTTCATGTCTTCACTTACTCACTCACTCACTCACTCACTCACTCACTCACTCACTCACTCACTCACTCACTCATTCAGTCACTCACATTGTGGTGTACTTTTTAGATCTATGTGACCCGTATAAGTATTTTTTATTAAAGGGTCAACAACATTGTTAACATCATCGTCATCTTTCTGTTTGTTTGATTAATTAATTACACGGTTCAATTTAAAGTCCTCATGTTAATTAGTTCACATTTTTCTCTCTCTTTCTCTCTCTCTTGTTCTCTTTCTTTTACTCTCTTTTTCTCTCCCTCCCACACACATATTCAAATCATTTTAAAACAAAATACCGATTAAAAAGAAATTTCATTTATAAAAATTATTTCAGTACTTTTATCATTCTTTAATGGCTGACATTTGCATAAAATATTTAAATTAATGTAACGTGTAAATGCGGTCATTGCGAATATGTGTGTTTGTTTGTGTATATATATATATATATATATATATATATATATATGTATATATATATATATATTTATATATACATTTATATTTACATATGTCTATTCATTCAAACCACACACACAATGTCTTACAAATCTTTTCTAAGTTATTTGTAAACATCTTAAAGTCTAAACTATCTCTCATTATAGGTTGCTAAAATATGCAGATAAATACAATTATGTTTGTGTGTATGTATATATGCATGAATATATATATATATATATATATATATATATATATATAATATAGAATGAATGAAAGAGAGAAAGAGAGAGAGAGAGAGAGAGATTGATCTTTTTTAATTTAAGTACGAGGACTTAAAATGCATATATAAATGACGTTAAATGGAAAAATAAATTTATATATTGTATTTATTAAGTCTTATTGCACTTAATAATTCCATAAACACACACAAACAAACACAAACAAACAAACAAACAAACACATATACACATATACATACACACAAACAGACACACACACACACACACACACAAACATATTAATTATACATCTTAATTTTTTCACAAGTTTTATTTCTGAAGTTGTTAACGTGAGAGATAACGATTTATAAACTCGAGTGGCCCTAAAAATGATACTGATATAAATGTATTGAAAGTTGGCTAGAACTAGTGAGTTATACGTTAATAATTTTTAAGAGGATGACTGGTTATGTAAATTTTGTTTAAAATAAATGATTATGAAATAATTTTTTAACAGTATTTTAGGATAAATACTCATTGTTAGTAGTATTTTTCTACGGACAGTGCAACTTAACTGAAGAATGAGTGGCGTGATAGATATAAGTAAAAACATCAGAAACGACGACAACAACAACAGCAGCAACAACAACAAAATTGGTGTAACCGACAACAACTATTGCAGCAACGACAACGACAACAACTATTGCAGCAACGACAACGACAACAATGACGTCATTATAGACGATGATGACATCACAAATACGGTTCCTAGGACGATTGGATTGGTTGGTGGGATATCATTCGTAGTTGGAATGATTATCGGTTGGTTTATTTTCTTCGTTGTTCATTCGTTTGTTCTACTTTGGAGTCTCAATCATTCTTTTTTCATTCCATCTTTCATTCATAATTCATTCATATATTCATTCTATCGTTCATTCGTTCGTTCGTTCGTTCGTTCGTTCGTTCATTCATTCATTCATTCATTCATTAATTGTTTACAACTGTTGTTTATTTTACATTGAGTCATTTGGTTATTTATTCATTTTATGGACATTTTTTCTTTAAAACGTTCATTCACTTACCCAAAACATTCAACATTATCTTCGCCACCACCACCACCATCATCATCATCATCGTTTTCATCATCACTATAAATATCATCTTCGTCATCATCATCATCACAGTCACAGCAAAGGTCACCATCATCACATATGACAGGTTCTGGAATCTTCATCTCACCACGAGGGGTGGTGTTCTACTCGGGCAGCGTCGGCATGACCCTGGCGGTCTGGCTGGCCTGTGGGGTCATTTCGCTGTTAGGTACGTACAATGACGATGACGATGATGACGACGACGAAGAAGAAGATGACGATAATCCTGATCATGAAAATGATTCCACATACTAAAAACCAGGATCTTTTTGCTATGTAGAGTTGGGACAGATAATAAAATCGTCTGGGGGTGATTACACCTACCTGCTAAAGGCCTACTGTCCCGCTGTAGCATTCCAGTACTCGTGGATCGTATGCACGCTAATGAAGGCAGGCGCGCAAGCCACGTTGAGTCTGACCTCTGCCGAATATTTGCTGACCCCCATGTACACCACTTCTTGTGGCGGACCGCCCTGGCTGGCCGTCAGATTGGTCGCCACCATTCTTTTACGTTAGTGGTTGTAGTCGTTGTGCTTGAGACTGCAGTAAAATTTATGGTGGCAGCTTTTGATATCGGAATAATTTAAGAAGGGCATTATTTTTATTTTATCGTTGTTATCATTATATCACTATTATATGCATTGATGTCACAAATGACATCATCATGTTTGTCATCTTTGTCGTCGTCGTCATTTCTGGGGCACAGTTGTTCTTGCGTGCGTGAACATGTTCAGCGTGGGGTGGACGAACAAACTTCAAATTGTTTTCACGTTTACCAAACTGGCTGCTGTGTCTCTGGTGGTCGTCGGTGGCCTCGTCATGTTGGCTCAAGGTCTGCTTCAATGTTTTATTTGTTTCACTGCGTTTCAAAAATTGAAATAAAACATTTTGCTAAAGAAATGATAGATAAATGAGAGGTGATAAACAGTAAAGAAATTGAGTACATATTTTCAAAGGCGCTTTCAAATTTGTACAAATTTCTGAACGCTTGGGTGAGGTTACTTAAGATGGTATTGGTGGAAATATTGTTGGAATGTTCTGTTACGCACCTAACTAGGTCATACGGAGCACCTGACAACCGGATTCGAAGGAACCAATTGGGATGCAGGATTGTTGATTACGTCATTTTACAGTGGCATGTGGGCCTACGATGGATGGTTGGGTTATTTTGTGATCTGTCCACTTTTAAATTTTTCACCAATTTGTTGTATTAATCAATAGTTCTTATGAAAATTAAATAAATTGTAATTTTTTCTCTTTGTTTCATCATAAACCACACCTAAAGTTTTAATTGTCTTGTTTTAATTGTTTTGGTATGTGAAATTATGTGTGAATGATCTTTCTATGTATACGTGTGCAAATGTACTTGAACGTTTGTGTGTGTGTGAGTGTGTGTGTGTGTGTTGTGTGTTTAGAAAGAGCTGCAGCACATGGGATCAATATTTTTTTAAACTCCATCACAGGAATGCAGCAAACTTCTTGGCCCAGGAAATGATTAACGTTGAAAGGTTGGGCGGCGACATTCCTTTAAACACAAAAAAATGTAAATAGAAACAAACAAACAAACATAAACGAACATACACATAAACGAACAAATACAAACAAACATAAAATAAACATGAAAACAAATAATCAAGGGCTGAGACAATAAAATAACATTTGCCTGAAAACTCAGGTAACAACAAATTTTTCTACACACGAACAAAAGCGCACAAATTCATTAACATATGCGCATATACCGACAAAGAAATACAAATTAATCCACACGTACAGACAAGTTCACACAAATTATTAAGAATATATACACATACATTTGTACAAACAGAGACACATACAAAAGCATAGAAAGACATACAAACAAACTAACAAACAAACATATGAACAGAAACTTACCACTGGCGATTATGATTGGTGTGCCTTCGGTTGTGGTCATCTACGTTTTCATGAATGTTTCCTACTTCAGTGTGCTCAGCGTTGAGGAAATGGTCAAGTCCGATGCAGTTGCTTTGGTTGGTCAGTTGTGTGATTGAAAACTGATTAATTGATTGATTGATTGATTGATTGATTGATTGATTGATCGATAGATTGATTGATCGATTGATTGATTGATTGATTGATTGATTGATTGATTGATTGATTGATTGATTGATTGATTGATTGATTGATTGATTGATTGATTGATTGATTGATTGATTGATTGATTGATTGATTGATTGATTGATTGATTGATTGATTGATTGATTGATTGATTGATTGATTGATTGATTGATTGATTGATTGATTTTCCGATAGTTATATCATAGACGATAGGTCCATTGGCATGTTTTATGATTGATTTGTCAGTTGATGACTGTTGTATAATTAATTGATTATTTTATAACTCTCGTTAATTAAATATTTTTCAAATGTAAATATTATTTTTATTTTTATTACTCATGTTTCTCCGCCACCGCATACAAAAGACTTGGGCCTCTCTCGTTCTACCGCAATCAGCAGTTTGGATCATGTCAATCTTTGTGGCATTCTCATCGTTTGGTACCTGTAATGCTAGTATGTTCGCTGGTGCCAGGTTCATTTGTTTGTTTATTTGTGTTTGTTTGTGTTTTTGTTCGTTTGTTTGTTCGTTCGTTTGTTAGTTTACGTGTTCGCTGCTTCATTTGTTTTCAATCGTTTAATTGCATGGGTTGTACGTTTTGCTGAATTATGGAAGTTATCTTCTGACAGGATTTTTGAACTTTTGATCTCAGCATATTTGAATTTTTTTAGATGAAAAGTTTTTAAACTTACAAAATAGCGTTAAAAATTCATAAAAATAACTTATTAAACAATGTTTATTCAATTAAAAAACCAGAAATTATTATTAAATAAATGAACCAGCATGTATGAACGTGAATGAAAAGAGGAAAGAACAAATAAACGAACGAACGAACGAAACAAACAAACTAAAAATCATAAATACCTCAGTCCCATTTACTTTGGCTAACAATTAATTTTGTACACGTCACGCCATCTATTATTTTTGACTTGCTCCAAAGTGTAGAGTCGCAGAGTACAACTACTAACTTGGCAAAGATCGTTCTCGCATTCAAATAGTTTCATAATTCCTCAGTAAAATTGTTATGAATTTTTTTAAAAGTAGCGTTTTGGGAGGAACTTGAATTTTGAGAAATAAGTTGACGACTTTTTAATTTCTCCACATTGCACATTTATTCAACGTTCATCTCATTTTTTTTATACAAACGTTAGAATAATGTCCTTAGAACTGAGGTGCATAAATTTGAAGTATTGTTAAAATTAACCTTAATTCTGACAAAATTTTATTGTGTCTTTCAGTGTATCTTTTAAGTGCGGATGTGGAACCGCAGTTAGAAATCACATGTTTATTTGTTTGTTTACAACCGCAGAGAGGGCACAGAGGAGTTTTGCCCCATTTAAACAAATTGGCGTTTGTTGGCAGTTGCTGTACCAAATATTTCCTGGCAAATTTGAAGAGGACTCCAGCAAGATTCTCCAGAGTTTTTGACCAACGAGAAATATTATTAGTTTTGATGACGGTTTTTATTTTTGATATAATTGTGCCCTGACTCACAAGCGAAAGAACGTGGTTGAGACTTGATTCAACTCTTTTATCTTCCAGCTGTTTGAGCGATGATTTTAGGGCATTTGATTTTGAAAGGATATTGTCAACTTTGATGTAATTGATTGTTGATTCTTTGTACAAACATTGAATTTCTTTGTTTTTGTTGGTTTTAAAATAGTTTCGCAGCTTCAATCTCGTTTTCTCTGCGGTATCTTTTAGGGACATAATATTATGGCCTCCCATCTTTGCTGGCAGCGAATTTAGTTCTGCTACACAGCCACTAATTGGCATATCCAACCAGTTTCGGATAGCTTCAACAATTAGATTATCCAGATTCTCTGCTATCCAAGTCAACGAGAAACTGTAGCTGCGAAGTTCAAAATTTATTTGAGTGGGAACAAACCTTCTCAAAACCTGAAGCTTCTGTTGTGGGCGCATATCCAACTTTGAGATCTTTTTCAACAACTGAGTGACCTTCAACTGTAACTCGTTTTTTGCTTTGGAATCTTTGCATTCATAATCGTACAGTTTGTCTAGATACGTGAAAGATTGACCAATTATTTATCAACTCTCATTTTCATTTCTGACCAGTTGCACCAAAGTTGATTCAAATCGATCAGATTTTGTGCTCCATCAGTGCAGTGAGCAATGACTGCCGAGTCGTCGGCAAATTGAAGCCATGATCTAGTATTTATGTTGGAAGTTGGGCCCCAGATAATAATAATAATAATAATAATTATTATTATTATTATGATAATAACATATAATAATAATAATATTATATTATAATATTTTGTTGTAGGTTGATAGGGACGGCCGCCCGTAACCGTCATATGCCCGTTGTACTGTCCATGGTTCACCAAGAACGGTTCACACCTATCCCCGCTATTATCATAAGTGTTAGATCGTGATGATGAGGGTGGTGGTGTTGGTGAGGGAAATGGTGACGGTGGCGTTGATGGTTATGTTTGTGGTGGTGTTGAAGATGGTGAGGGTGATGTTGGTGAAGATGAGGTTGGCGATGAGGATAATGATGTTGGTGATGAGGGAAGTGGAATGACATTGAAAAACTGGCATTGAAGCAAATTCAACAAACCATCAAAAATATTTTATTTCACAAAATTTACTTTTAAAAATTTTTATTTAAAATTCTTTTTTTTTCAAAATTCCAGACTGCCTTAGCAATAATAGCCATATTCATAGGCAGCATATCAACACTAATCAACTTCAGCAGCTTCTTCTTGTGGCTGTTCTATGCTCTCAATTTCCTCGCTGTTATAATACTCAGATATACAAATCCTTATAAAAATATTGAAAGAAAAATAAAGGTTTTTTTTGTGCCGTTTTTTCGCAATTTTTTAATTTTTTTCAATTAACCTTGTATTTTTGTTAGAGTTTATATGATATTATTTTAGCATTTGACTTTGTCTTGCAGTTTTTAAATATTTTTTTAGAAAAATGGAACTGTGTCATTTTTATAACTACTTCATCTTCATAATCGACTTCCTCTTTGTGATCACCATCTTCATCGCCATACACCTCATCATCATTATTTTCAGATTCCCATAGTTATCCCAATCATATCCTTCGTCTGCTCTCTTTTCCTGGTCTTCATCCCGCTCATTTTAAATCCAGAATTCGGATACTTTTTCGGACTGGCCTTCATCTGTTTGGGATATGTCCTGTACGTTCCGCTCGTTCATTTCAACCTTAAACTTTCTTTCATGGGTGAGTGATGATGACAATGTTGTTGTTGTTGTTGATGATGATGATGATAATGTTGTAGTTGTTGTTGATGATGATAATGTTGTTGTTGTTGTTGTTGTTAAGGATGACGATGATAGTAACGGTAATGATGAAGACGATGATGTTGTTGTTGTTGTTGTTGATGACGATGTTGATGGTGATGACAGTGATGAAGAGGACGATGATGATCATGAGCATGAAACTAAGTATGACATCAAGATGATAATGTTGTGACAGCGATTGATTACAATATGATATAGTAGTTGCACAACGGTAGCAGATTTAATGAGTGAATGACTACGAGTCATAAGAATGATGAATATGATGATAGTTATGATGACAGAGGATGGTGATAGCGATGACGAAAATCGCAATCAAATTTACGTGTTTTACTCTTACAGATAAACTTACAAGGTTCCTGCAAAAATTCTTCATGGTGTTTCAAGCGACTGAAAAATTATTATGAAGGGCCATATCAGTTCACTTACTCTCCTTTCTGCTTTTTCTCTCTTTCTCTCTCTCTCACTCTCTTTCTTTGTCTGTCTTTCTTTCTATTTGTCTTTTTTATCTCTAAATATTGCTATTTATTTATTTTCCCCTCTCAAATCTTTCAATTCATTCATATTTCAAATATTTTTTTAAATGTTCACTCGTCGTTCTTCTATTTTTTAACATTGCCTTGTCCAGGATAGCATTCAAATAGAAATAAAAGCATGTTGGTTTGTTTGTCGATAATTTTTTAACAGTCCATCACTAGTTAAAACGTTTTACCAAATGAATTTTTGACGAGCTGAAAAGTTGTACGATCGGTAAATAAGATTTGTAAATTGTTTGTAATTTTATTGAAATACAAGCAATAGTTTATAATTTGGGGTGTGCGTGTGTGTATGTGTGTGCGTGTGTGTGTGCGTGCGTGTGTGCGTGTGTGCGTGTTTGTGTGAATTTGAAGCAAGGTGATAAGACACAACACAACAGCAAAAGATAACACAACAGTACTTGATTGTGCTGAGCACCAATAAGCAAGTCATCAGTTCATCTCGAGATGGCAACTTTTCCTCATCATCTTCATCCTTCTCTTCCTTTTTTTCATCATCATCTCCAACTTCATCATGTCCATTTTTTGCTTCTTTTTATTATTTCCACATTATCATCATCTATATCTCTATCATCATCTATATCTTTAACATCATCTATATCTTTATCATCATCTATATCTCTATCATCATCTATATCTCTATCATCATCTATATCTCTATCATCATCTATATCTCTATCATCATCTATATCTCTACCACTATCTATATCTCTATCTTCATCTATATCTTTAACATCATCTATATCTCTATCATCATCTATATCTTTATCATCACCAACTTCATTTCTATCTTTATCTTCATCATCATCTTCGCAATTTTCTCAAATAACATCAGTCTTGCCCACACCGTTGTAACGTAGTTTTTATTCTTTTTATGTTCTTTATTTTAACGGTTATGTATGTATCGTTGTATGTGAGTGTGTGTGTGTTTATGTGTATCTGTGTGTGTATGTTTGTGTGTCTGTTTTTTACTGTGGCGATGTGGTAAGAACATGAGATGCGTATTGTTTGCATTGTATGTATGCATATGTCTACGTGTATGTATGCATGTTTATATGTACGTATATATATATATATATATATATGTGTGTGTGTGTGTGTGTGTGTGTGTGTGTGTGTGTGTGTGTGTGTGTAAATAGGCATGTATATGTGTGTATGTACTTATTTATGTACGCTTGTTTGTTTATATTGTACTTGTACAAGGCGGAATCTTCAGTCTATTTCATCATTGTCGTTGTGTATATAGTAGTACAATGTTTTACATCATTGAAGTTGAATTAGAGTGAAAAAATGTTTGTTGTTTTAAAAAGTTGAAAATTAATACCTGAATAAATTTTATCATTTCTGAAAAATAAATACAAGTTGAAAATATTTTTTTTAAATTAAATCAATACTTTTCTTGCTAACGAGGACAACTATTTGGTATTTTTTAATTCATTTGATCAATTTCTTGTTGAAACAAATGTTTACAGACGTTTTCACTTTATTTTAGAACAATGAAGTTTGTCATCATCACTTAGTTACTGCTATCAGCTTGGTTGATATTAGTATTATTATCATCATTATAAGCGTTTGTCGCCATCGTCGTCATCATCGTCGTCATCGTTGATGTCGCCATCATAGTCATCATCCCAAATTTCATTTTCATCATCGTCATAATCGCTCTCGCCGTAATTATCATCGTCACAATTAGTATTCTTGTTGCCATCATCATCATCCTCGTCGTCTTCATCATCATCCTCTTCGTCCTCATCATCGTCGTCGTCATCATCACCGTTATCAATTAAGCCGCATTCAACTTTCAAGAAGGATTTAGAGAATGATATTTATTAAGCTAGCTATCAGTTGTTTATTGTCGGTGATATGATAGTCAATGATTGATGATAGGATAGTCCATGATTGCTCAGTTCACTGCTAATCTTACTCGCATCCACTTGTTTTATTTATTATTTATTAATATTATTTATTTGTTTATTTTCATTGACGTTGTTGTTTATGTTGTTTTTTACTTCTCAATTGCTTTCTCTCTCTCTCTCTTCTCTCTCTTTCTTTTCCTTCTCTCTTTCTTTCTATTTCTTGTTCTCAATCTTGCACTTTCTCTCTCTCTCTCTCTTTCGCTACTTCTTTTTTTCTCTTCATGTTATCCTCTTTCTTATTTTTTCACAATCTAATTCCCTTTTTTCTCTTCTCTCTGTCTCTTCCTGTCTGTCTGTCTGTCTGTTTGTCTGTCTGTCTGTCTGTGTGTTTCTGTTTCTAATTTTTTTCATTTTTCACATTTTTTCGAAATATCCTTCTCCATTTCTTTTTGAATCTAAAAAATCTAAAAGAAAAAGAAACACGAGTATGCTGAATAATAGAAATTCACGATGAGTACGTTCACTCAAGTCAAAAAAATTTATTTTTGAACCCATCACCACTGCAGTTTGCACACTACACACACACACACACAAACAAACAAACACACACCCAAAATAAAAGCTGAACATAACACGGCATTTGATTAATATTTAAATTTGTCTGCAACAACCACACATCAACAACAATTACATCTACATTCCATTCAGCACACGCCTTCTAACAAAAAAATATATTGCATCATAATGTTAGTACAAAGTAAAAAAACGTAAAACTACAACTTTATGATCGCGGACTATCATAGTACCACCAACTAAGATATACTCAGTTACAAAAGCCGAGACAAAACTGAAAACAACATTATCATTAAAGACAAAACCAAACAACAACATCAAACAACAACAACAACAAACCACAAACAACAACATCATGACAGATAAGACCTCAAGAGCATGCAGCAACAATGTAATCGCTGAGACACTTTAAAATCATTCACTCTCTTCAAAATTCTTCAAACTAAATCACTGCATACGTACGTAGTACATATCTCGCTCGAGCAATCCTAATGAATATCATCTACCTTTAAGAACAAATTTTTTTACTTGAAAATATACACACACACCGCACACACACGCGCACAAATGTACACACATACACACACACATACATACACCAACACACACACGCACATTTTTTTACCTGCAAATATATACTCGCACGGTTAACAAAACCGATGTTTATATTTTGACTATCACTTTTAATTAATCAACCATTTCTTCTTAATTGTTGTTATATTTATTTACCTAATATTTTACTTGTCGTTTTGTTTAGTTATTTCAAATGTTTTTAAGCATTTGTAAGCAAACTATACATACAGTCACGCATACAGTCATTGATACAGAGTCCTTGGAATCGGATGTATCGAAACAAAACGAAACGACATAGATTTTTCCAATACAATTTCATTTGTATAATTCAGTAAATAAAAAAGTAATTAGTTATTTTAAATACGTGGTCTATTCCGATGTAAAAAAAAGAATTTACTATCGTAAGACAAATTTTCAAATCGAAAACCAGCGAAATCCAAATCGAGAAACATGAATGATAACATTGAAAAAGTTAAAACAGGTGGCATTCTGAAGAAGCGTAATGTAGGCAACATCAACAACAACAACAACAACAACAATAATAATAATAACGACAAAGACTACAGCATCAACCCCAGTAAAAACGACAGTGTTTATGAAAACATCAACGACATTAACCTTATAAACATCGCTGACAATAACAACATCAACAACAACAACTACAACAACAACAATAATAATAATAATAATAACGATAATAATAACACGGATATCGTCCAATCTACTGAAAATGGAGTAGACCAAGTGCCGCGGACAATCGGTTTACTCGGCGGTATTTCATTTATAGTCGGTACCATCGTCGGTATGGTATTTTTCGTATTTTTTATTATAATCAAAATAATTATTCCACAATTTTGAATATTTTCAATATCTTACTTGTGTACAATTTTGAGTCATCCCGTTGAACATACCACACATTTGTTTGTCTGCCAAATAAACTTCGTTCGCTTACGGCCAAAAAATTCTTTAAAAAAATGTTGTAAACCATTTGTTGAAATAAAAGAAAAAATTAAACACCTCATTTTATTTGGCAGGTTCAGGAATATTCATATCCCCTAGAGGTGTAGCCATGTATGCGGGCAGCGTTGGCATGACGTTGGTCATCTGGTTGGTCTCTGGGCTAGTCACTCTAATTGGTAGGTCTAACATGAAATTTGTGTCGTTGTTGTTTTAAAGTTATATGATGTTATTAATTTTCATCCACAACAACTGCAACAACACAACCTCAGCCAACGTGAAACACTAAATACTTAGTGAAGAACTTTAAAAACCAACCCAACGACAACTACTTCTAACTACATCAAAGTACTCAGCCGCTGCGATGAATTTTCCAAACAAAAAACAGGTGCTCTATGCTACGCCGAACTAGGTACCATAATAACACTATCAGGGGCAGACTACATATATCTGGACAAGGCCTATGGTCCTCTGATTTCTTATCAATTCTCATGGGTCAACAATGTTCTTGTAAAGCCTGGTCAGCTGGCTACAGTTGCACTGACCTTTGCCGAATATGGTAGTGATGACTGAATGATGATGATGATCAGTATAATTAAATGGTGATGACGAAATGATGAGGATAATGATGACGAAATGATGATGAATACGATGTCGATACACTAACATAAAGGTATGTCCCTATTCTACATGGATTCGTGCGGCCTCGCTCCAGACACAATCAACAAGATCGTTGCCTGTCTGCTTATAGGTTAGTTCACATTTCATCTGCAACTTTGTTGCAACAGCATTTTGTAGCAACATATCGCTGCAACATGTCGCAATGACATGTCGCAATGACATGTCGCAACAGTAACTTTTTGTATTAATTTGTAATTTAATCATTTCTTTCATATTCTTATTATCATTAGTGTAATCATAGCTAGTTTTTTATTTATTATCACCACAAGCTGTGTGTTTATTAGTACATTTAACATCTATATCATTAGACTCATCATAGTTATCATTGCATATAATTTTAATAAAATTCATCACCCTCATTTTCTTCATTCATTTAATTTCTCATTTTCAGTTTTTTCTCACCATCTTCACCATCGCCAACATCCATCTTCGCTAACAACCGAAGTCACATTAGGAGGAATAAATGGATTCAGTGTAAAGTTAGCGAGTCAGATTCAAATCATCTTCACCGTTGCGAAGTTGGTCGCGCTAGTACTCATCATTGTCGGAGGCATCGTCATGCTGGGAAAAGGTTACTCTAGTGACAGAATTATAACCAAACGACTGGCGATCAAATTATTTTTCTACCAAGTAACATCGTCATCATCATTATCATGATCATCATCATCATCAATACATCGTCATCATCAATACTATCATCATCATCAATACCATCATCATCATCAATACCATCATCATCATCATCATATCATCGTCGTTGTCGTCGTCACCATCACCAGGTCACACCGAACACCTTTCTACTGGATTTCAGAACACGGAGCCACAGATTGGCCTGCTGTTCACGGGGTTTTATAGTGGTATGTGGGCCTATGATGGATGGTTGGTGCTTTTTTTGTTTACGTTGTTGTTTATGTTTATGATTAAAATCGATTTTTGTTGTGGTTTTTTGTTTTTTTGTTGTTGTATGTTTGATGTTTGTTGTATTTGTTGTTGTTGGCGTGTGTATGCGGATTTTGTTGTTTAAGAATAACGCAGTTGTTTAATATTAATATTGGTTTATGTTTTGTTGTGGCTGGGTTTTTGTGAATTTTCAATTGTTTTTGTTTATGTTTATTGTTTGGTTTTAATATTTTATATAAAATTGTTGATTTTATGCTCGCCCTTTTCAACAGGAACACGGCAAATTTTATGACAGAAGAAATTATAAACGTTGAAAGGCTAGATAATTTGCATGAATTACAAAAAATATCATTACTTTTCATAAAAATTTTCATCTATATATTTATGAAATTTTTTTATTTCTATTTAAATTTATGATGTAATAACAGTAGAGACATTATTTCAATCTTCTCAATCATGTCTAATGGAACGTTGTTACAACAAATGACAAAAACATTTTTCTGAATCCGAGTCTGATTTAGAAAATTTGGCCCCAAATTGATGGCCCGAAAATAATGAATGACACCCTTACCAGAAACCTGCCTCTTTCGATAATTATTGGTCTCCCGTTTGTCATAGTCCTCTTTATCTTCACCAACGTTTCCTATTTTACTGTGTTGAGTGTGGAGCAGATGGTTCAGTCTAACGCCGTTGCATTGGTTCGTTGGTGTTGTACGGTGGTTTTGTTGTTGTTGCTGGCGTTGTTGCTGGTTGTTGTCTCTTTTAGGGTATTTTTTTGCATTACGTTTTTTTTAACGTTGCTCTTTTGATTTTTTTTTCATTATTTCGTTTCAAATTTTGTTGTTGGTAATGTTAAATCGTGAATCCACTGAATAAAAATGTAAAAAAAAATTTAGTAGAGCAAATTGAACAGCACCACTTTTCAATTCTTAGTCATGGGCCGAGTACGTCATACCAAACATCAAATGGGTGGTGCCCATATTTGTGGCCCTCTCTTGTTTCGGGACTGCCAATGGCACCCTCTTCTCCGGTGGAAGGTTAATTGAGAGTAGATACAATTAAATTTAGTTGATATAGCGTCCTAGCGAACGTTGCACTAAACGACAGACTGGTGTACGCTGCAGCTCGAAACGATCATCTTCCTGGCATCCTTTCCATGGTTCACATTGAAAGATACACCCCCATTCCAGCCATCGTCATTAACGTTGGTTCAGTTACTTCAGATTTTATGTGTTTCTCATCACATCGTCATCAATTCACTGTCATCGCATCATCATTCACACGTTATTATGACGTCATCGTGACATGACAACAAAGGTCCTATGCGCCATCTTGTTATGTCTTCTCGGTAGCATCTCCACTCTCATTGACCTCCTCAGCTTCATCATGTGGATGTTCTACGGTCTCAACTTTCTGGCTGTCATCGTCTTCAGATTCAAGATGAAACACGTCAACAGGCCTGTCAGGGTTTAAATTTTTATCAAATTTCAAGACTACAGTAACAATTTTCAAAACAATTACATTGTTAAATCGCCTGGTACTGTCAAAGCAGTAACTTGGTTCGAATCCCACTCTATACTGTTCCCAGTTCATTCACAATCTCTACATCGCTAGTCCAAAAATACAATCACATATGTTCATATTTCAATTATTTGTGTTTGTTTAATAAATATTTTTCCTTTATTTTCCAGGTTCCATTAATATTACCAGTTGTAGCGTTCATATTTGCCGTGTGTCTTGTGGTCATTCCGTTGGTGGTCAGCCCGCAGACTGGCTACTTTTACGCCCTGGGGTTCATCGCCCTCGGCTACGTCGTCTACATTCCACTTGTTCATTTCAAATTGAAACTGCCATGTATGGGTGAGTGGAATGATTTCTTTTTTGTTCAAACTTTGAAAAGTTTAAACTTTTTTGTAAAATCCCAATTATTGTTGGTTTTTATGATTCGTAAATTACTCTATTAATTAGATAATACGCTATGCAGTTATTAGAATGACGTCATTCAAACATTCCGGATGTTTTAATTGGTTGATTGATTGATTGATTAACCCAGTGCTATCCAGTAAATTGGCTTCAGATTCGCCTTTGAAATATTTTATTTTCCCAACTTTTGCTCACCGCAGACTGCCTGACGACTTTCCTGCAGATGGTTCTGCAAGTTTTTACGCCAGATAAAATCGACACTTGATTCAATTATTTGATTAATTAATTTATTAATTAATTACCTATTTAATTTAATTGATTAATTATTTATTTATATATTTTAATTCAAAAATTGATCGATTATTTAGTTTATTCGAAAGTTCGAAAGTTTACATTTAAACTAATAAGCGAGTTATATAAATTTACTTATTTTAAGTTTTATATATATATACATATATATATATATATATACATATATTAATATATATATATATATATTATATAAATTAATAATATACGCAGATAGCTTATTTTGCTTGTGATCAATTTTTAAATTTATGAAGTCCCATGAATGTTTGACAAAAATAGAAATAACCTACGTAAGAAGCGTTTAATCCTAATTTAATTTGTTGTGATATTTTTAAAAATAGACGCATTAATAAAAAGAAATAAACACAAATTTATTATTCTTTCAAATTTTTTTCTTTAAACTAGTCCAACTTTTGGGGTGTCGATATTTGGAAAAAAAGCTGCAGGAAAATTGTGACATAATCTGAAATAGAAAAATGATAACTAAATAATTAGTTAATTGATCAACCAAATAATTTATTATTTAATTAATTGCTACTACTTAGAATTAATTTTCTAGTACATGAAATACCCCAGCACTGCTTATTTCATTGTGCATGTCGTCGCCATTCATACTATAAATACTTTTTTGCGACTAACACCAGAGCCAACGTCACAAATAAAAGTAGCAAAGCAAGTGTAACTTTTACTAAATTAGTTATAAACGAAGAATCGACACAGCATAACTCCACACAAAAATGGTTCGACTTACCCATGCACTTGGGGTAGAGTTTGAAATGAACGAAAGGAATGTAGAGCAAGTATCCGATGAGAATGAAGATGAAAGCGAATAGAAACTCGATCTGCGGTTCGGTCACAATCGGTACGATTACGATGAATATTGCCGCCAAAAAGACGAATATCGGTATAATCAAAGGAACCTACAAAGAAATTTAAAATAAAAGCTTGCTAATTGTCGAAATTCATCCATTCATTCTTTCATTCACTTTTTCATTCATTCACCGATATATTCATTTCTGAGCGATCCACCACACAACCAAACGACTTCTCAACTAACTCTGAAGGGCCTGTCTGCCTCCTTATAAGGATATCTGTAGCGGAAGATGATGATGGAAATCATGTTCATCCCGTAGAACATCCACTTTATGAAACTGACGAACGTTATGAGGGCTCCCACATTGCCAGGAATGACGAACAATATGGCGATCAGAGCCTTTGCATTATTATTATTATTATTATTGTCATTATTGTTATTATTTATAATTTTTTTCAACATTTGTTATAGGTGTCAACAAAAAACACATCACACATGTACATTGCAAACGATAGACTGCGTTGGGATATCGTTGCATTTGAATCCAGTCCCGACGACAGCAGTGCCAAGCGTCTTAACCACTACACCACCAACATTATTATTATAACATTACCATGAGAACGGAGGCTGGCACAGGCGTTAACCTCTCAACGTTGATCATGCCGAAGAACTTTGGTAGGTGGTCGTTCCTCGCCGCCACAAATATCAATCTGTGTGCGCGTGTGTGTGTGAGAGAGTGAGAGAAAGAGTGAGAGAGAGAGAAAGAAAGAGAGAGAGAGAGAGAGATAGAATGTTATACACCTTATATATCTGTTATTGATACCTGGATGTTGAGAAAAACGATCCGTTGGCTGATCCAAAAGCGGACATGGCAACAAAAATGGGAATTATCCATGCTACTTTGGGAATCACCCGATCCGCCCACGTCTGCAATAATAATTATTATGAAAATTATAATTAACAGAAATAATAATAATAATAAATAATAAATAATATTAATAATATTATAAAGTAACTCGAAAATCTGTGCATAAGAGCATGAATAAAAATAACAAGCGACCAGCACAGCAGACTCAACTGACTATAGCCACGGCTGTTGAGTCTATCATTTCTTGCATGGACATTACTGTGAAGTACGAAACATTGGTTAGGACGTAAACTCCTATGACAACCGGCACCCCTATTATGATGGCTAGTGGCAGGTTCCTGATGGTGGTAGTGATGATGATGATGGTGGTGGGGATGGTGATGATGGTGGTGGGGATGATGATGATGGTGATGATGATGATGATGATTTTTATTATTATTATACAAATTCAACCTTTGCGGATTTATAATTTCTTCCGTTATGAAATTTGCCGCATTCCTGGCGTGATAAGAAGTTAAAATAATAATCAAATAAACAACATCAAATGAAGATTAAACATCGAACTAATTTGACCGACCATCCGTCGAAAGCAAACATTCCACTATAGAATCCTAGGGCAATAACTCCGGGTTTCGTACTGGTTCCTTTAAATCCGGTAGACAGATATTCCGTGTATCCTGAATATCATTTGTGATAGTGGTGATATCATTTTCACGGTAGTAATGGTTTAGTGGTATATCATATTGTGATAATAATGACTTGGTGACGATGTGAGGGAAAATGATAGTCATGATATTATCTATAATAATGATAGTATTAATGTTATTTCATCAAGATTGATAAAAATACAAAATGATATTTACAATTAGACTAATATTAATGGAACGATATAATTAAATCGACCGTAAAAATAAGTCAAGCAAAGTCGAGAGAAACTGAATGAAATCTAGAAGAAAATAAAAACTGACAGACCAAGTGTTGTCAAATGTAAAACACAATAATAAACCCATCCAAACAAATCATTTGTAACCTTAGAAAAGTTTAACCTTGAAAAAGTTTGACGATTCCTCCAACGATGATGATGCCAAGCGCCAGAAGTTTGGCCACAGTGAATATGATTTGAATCTTAGATGCCAGCTTGCTGCTGTAGATGCTGATGGCTGCTAGAACAACTTTTGGGAAAAGAAAATGTTGGTGTTTGGTTAGGGGGTTTTGCCGCAACTAATTTATAAATGTCTGTCGTTGAATTTTTTTAATTTGCTCTCATTTTAAAACAATTTTTAAAATAAATAATTCGCATTTTCAGTATTTACAGATAATGAATAGTAAGACGTATTCAGCATTTTTAACGTAACTCAGGTTTGAAACGTAGTATTCTAGTTTTTTTCAAATAAATAAAAATGCTCAACTAACGAATCAAAGTAACAGCAAATAATTTCTTGAGAAGGCTGTTCACCTCACCACACCCATCCTCAAACAGTGGCGTCAGTAGGTACTCGCTGCACGTGATAGCGAGTGTGGCCATGGAGGCTGGCTTCAGGAGCAAGCCCCAACACCAGGCGAACATGTAGGCCACGACCTTTCCGTACGCTCTCATGAAAAATGCGTAGTCACCTCCGGATTCTTTCACCACGGATCCCATTTCGGCATAGCAAAGAGCGGCTTTTTTGAGTTTTGACAGTTGAGAGGTAGGTTCGTATTGCGTTTGGTTTGGTGTTGTGTGTTTTTCTTTTGTCTGTTGTTGGTCGATGCTTATTGTTTGGTTATTTTTTTTTGTTTTTTGTTTGGCTTATGTTATATTTTAGTTGATAACCAGTTTAGTTTTATGATGATTTTAAAAGTTTTTATTACGTACCTAGCATAGATACAATTCCACAGATAGTCCAACTGACGAGCGTGAATCCCACACTTCCTGAACCTTCCGCCACGCCTTTCGGAGATATGAAAATTCCAGATCCTGTGTGTGTGTGCGTGCATGTGTGTGTGTGTGTGTGTCTGTTTGTGTGTGTGCATATGTCTGTGTATTCATTATATACTTATATGCATACAGCAGTGTGTGTGTGTCTGTATGTTTGGAGGCATTTTTGACGTACATCTACAATCAACACTACCACACAATTTATTTTAACATATAAGAGTCAATATGTTTAATTGAATTTCTTGCCAGAAATTACCACATCAATGTATGCATTTGTATATTTTTCCATGAATTTCTTTTCTAAAAATACTTTTTTCAAATGAAATTTGTCATAAAGTTTGCAGAATTTTATGAGTCAGACCTATGATGGTCCCAACTATGAATGAAATGGCACCAGTAAGTGTGATGGTACGTGGGACTTGAACTGTCGAAATGTCGACTGTGGCTTTAAAATTGTCACCATTCGTTTCATCTAGATTTGTTGCTGTTGTTGTAGTTGTTGTTGCTGCTGCTGATGTTGTTGTTGATGTTGCTGTTGGTGTAATGTGTTTGTTAACGTTTGTGACTGTTGTATTGTTAGTGTAATCGTTGTCATTAATGTTGTTGTTGCCGTTGTTTTTGACATTGTTGCTATCTGAAAAATAAATAATTTTTTCTCTTAGAAGCATACAGTTGTTGAGTTGTTTTCAAATTTTTGATGTTCCTGTTCCAAGCATAAACGTTTTTACATTCAGTATTTAAAATTTCTCATAAATCGAATTTTTCAAAATTTCGAATTACTCGAACTAACCCATCTTCGATGTTACACAATAAACATTCCATAAAATAACTTGTTAAATTAATTAATTAAAAACTCAATTTTGAGAGAAAAAACAGTTATAAATAATATCAATAAACAATAATCGTACGAGTTCAGACAGCTGATTTCGCTAGCAAGAAACTAAAAATATTTAACTTAAATCAAGAGTTAAAAAGTGATAATACCAATATGACAAAAAGTAGTTATTATTATTATTAACATCATTATTGTTGTTGATTTGGTTGCTGTTGTTGTTGTTTATCTTGTTAATGATATTTTGTTGTTGTCCTGGTTGCTTGTTGTTGTTTATATTCTGCAATTTCAGTATAAATATAGATATTTATTTGGAAGAATAATCACAGGCTTATCTTAAATTGTTTATTATTATCAGCGCATTGTAATGCTGTCTTATCATTTTTTCTAGTGTCATAAATTTATAAATTATTTTTATTATTATCATTTATATTATTAGTAGTAGTGGTTGTAACAGCAGCTAACAACAGCAGCAGCAGAAGTAGTAGTGGTAGCAGAAGTAGTAGTAGTGGTAGCAGAAGTAGTAGTAGTGGTAGTTTTAGCAGAAGTAGTAGTGGTAGAAGTTGTAGAAGTTGTTGCTGTTGTTGTAGTTGTCAACAAAATCTAAAAACTCCATCTGCCGTATGTTTTTGTTGTATTTTTTTCTTTCTCAAGAACAACATCGAACAAAATAGTGATAAAAAATGAAGAACAGATTTAAAAAATAAAATAAAAATAACTTTCGTGTTTTATTTAGATATTGCAACGAATATTAATAAATAAATAAATGATAAATTAATTAATAATAAATTAATTAATTAATAAACAAACTTTTATATAGTATATATTATTTCACAAGGAATCATTTTTTTAATAAATAACAATGTAAATATAAGAAAGTGATTTTGACTAGTTCGGTACATGATGTGTATTGCCTAACTTTAAAAACATATAAGGTTGTTAATACAATAAAAAAAAGTTCAACTTGTTTTAAGTGACTAAAATATACAATGAGCAGATTGTGTGTGAGTTTTTATTTTTATGTTTGTATGTGTATGTGTGTGTGTGGGTGTGTGTATGTGTGTGTGGGTGTGTGTGTGTGTGTGGGTGTGTGTGTGTGTGTGTG